CTGCTGAATCCCGTGAAGTCTCCTGGAGCCCAGGGGGGGTGAATTTGCTTCTTTCTAGTTAAATGCCCAGTCATCTTGTTGAAAAGGCCCAAGTTTGGCTATGTGGATAAGATGTCTGTAGCAGCTGGGCTGGAAAAACGGTGAGAAGGGTAACAAATTCAAATATTTGTGTTGATTTTTATGACAGAATTCTTGAAGCTTTTGTTGATAAGCAGCAGAAAAGTAAAGAACTTTGTAGAAGGTGTTTCCTACCATGCATCATGGATTTCTTTCACAGATGTAGCAGTACAAGCTAGGAGTTTGGAAGAGTTCAGCCAGGTGGGTTCTCACCACTCTCCAGTGTTTGGGCTCCCTATTCCTCAAGGCTCAGCCCTCGTGTCCAGACCCAGCCATTTCTCCTGGCCTTTTGGAGCCTTTTTCACTTTTCACACCCCAGTTGTTCCATGAGGTTGGCTGAGGCCTGGGATAGGACTGTCCTAGTCCTTTTCATTTTGAAGAAGCCACCTCTCTCATTCCTGGCTGGGGAGCTGTGTGTTCACACTCCCATGTGTCACCCATCCTTGGGCTGGGCTTCCCATCATTGTCACAGGTGGAACTTTAACCTGGCACATCAACATTTTTTTGAAAAGCTGTCCAGGCCTGACAAGGACACAGTATCTCTGCAGCTTTGACTCCTGAAAGGCCATCATGTCCATGCATCACACAAGGCACACCCAGTCTCTGCCTTTAGAACAACAGCTTCAGGGCAAACATTTTTCTTTTGCATGCAGTTTGTTGGGTATTTTTCATTTACTGATCCTATTTACTGAGGAATCTAATGTGAGAAAATTAGGTTTAAAATCGTTCCTAAACGGAGAGAATTTTATCCTGATGGGGTGGGTGGGAAGGGGCTATTCTGCTAAATCTGTAAATGTTATTTCATGTTCTGAATAAAATTGCATGTAGAAGCAACAAATTTGTTGTTGTCCAACTGTAAATAGAAGAAATCCTGGACTCCAGACTATACAGTGCAATTTTTGGAAGGCTTTTAAATCACACTTGTATTTTGATTGAATTGATGACTCTGGCTTCTTCTCTAGCCTAAGTTGGACTGTGTCTCCTTTTCTGTGTATTTTTTTTTTCCAGGCTGCTGCGGGAACAGTGGATCAGAGCCAAGTATGAAAGAAAAGAGTTCATTCACAGTGAGAAGCAGGAGCCTTATTCTGCAGGTAGAGAAAGATACTTGTAGCAGATAAGTTCTTTGTTGCTCAGCACCTTCCATTTTGTTTGTCTCTGCTTGTATTTTCTTTGTGTTGATTATTGCTTATATGTCACTAAAGAAGTGTAGTCTTTTGGGAAAGATTCCTCCTGGATTTTTTTTTTAATATTGGGAATTCTAATACCTGATAGAAATAAATCTGATTGAGAGTCTCTCTGTTGAGCTCCATGGGCTGTTCACCACCAGCAGGTCAGATGGGCTGGTTTCTGGTAGCAAGAGGCATGAAGCTGGATTGAAATGGAGATAAGGGTGTTTGTCTCATCCAGGTGACTTTTGCTTTGGAGGGATGAAGTCAGATTCTGAACATGTTTTTGTTACTGGTAGATAAGTCTTTCAGGTCCCCCACTTTTCCCAAATCTCTGTCTGTCCACAATACTTCAAGTGTCAGCATTGGGACCTGGTCTCCTTGTAGTAAAATTAGTGCCCAGTGATTTGAAATTGCGAAGACCCAGCACATGGTGGCCTTACAGAGGTTTGGTTTAGTGGAGCAGTAAGTAGGTCAGACTCTTGTCTTGCAGAGGAGACACAGGGCTCAACCATATTGTTGTGTGGCTGCACCAGCCTAAGAACCAGTGTGAAAATGCATCAAATTAGCAGGGGATTTCTTTGCTGTATGTAAGTGGCATTTAATTTATTCTGCATATTAAGTAGTTGACACCAGCTATGTGCTTGGGTGACTCTGGGATAATTTTATTAGCAAAGACCATGTTGCAGATGAAAGGTTAAAATATTATTTTCATGCTACTTTTCAAGACTAATGATCAGCAAGTGGCTGCAGCATTTTGCTATTATTAAAACCACCATTAAAATCTGATCTCATATATTCTCAATGTAGGTTTAGACCATTTCTGCTTTGCTATTTTGTATACATGAGGTATTCACGTGGTGGGTGGGGAGGATCCATTATCATATATAATACATTGTGCACATTTTTATTTTAGATTTTTCAGAGCAGTCTGCTGGAGTTGGACGTGTTCTATTAACAAGAAATGGTTTGATTTCTTAGATAGTTTTGCAATATATCTGCCAACGTGTGCATAATGTTCACCCAGGAACAATGATTCCAATTTATACTGAGCAACTCCTAGATGTAAAAGCCTGGATTCAACTTCAGGCAAATGCATCATTTTAAGCAGATGGTTAGTCCTTTGGCTTCAAGAAGAGTGTGCCCCTGGTTAAAGTGAAGTAGGTGCTTCAGTGCTGTGTGGGAACGAGGATAGTGTGTTCTGAGCTCCCTGAATAACATTCTAGGAAGGGTTCAAATGGGAGTTTATTTTAGCAATGTGTTTTGTAGGTGTTCTTTAGCAATGTGGCTGCACAGTATTTTAACTGCAGGGTGAAGTAATGGGGTTTTCTCCCCTCTCTTTGGAGTTCAAAAGCCTTTAAATGCACAACAGGAGTGGGTAAACCATTTTAAATGAAGAGCACTCTCAGAAGAAGAAAGGGAAGGGAGGGCAGGCTGGTGGGCATCTTGTAGGTTGTGTGTGAGTGGGTTTAGGTTGTATATTGTCTTTGAGAATTGTGCCATCATGAAAATCTGTCATTGGAGCTGTATAAGTGACCCATGCAAGCAGGATGTCATTTGTTGATGCTTCTGGGCAGTAAATTCAAAGGTGATCTTTGGCCAGGAGGTTCCCTGTCAGGATGGCTTGTTGGTGTTAAAACAATACAAAGCTGGGGACATACACCAAACTTCCAGTGCCACCTTCTCCCTGCTGGGTGTGATTGCACACCTGTACTTCACCCATGCCAAAGGGTGCTCCTTCTTCTGGACTGCACGATGTAACTTGGTTGATGATGCTGTTTGCAGCTCTTGGGCTGTTACACTGGGAGTTGTTTGTTTCCCAGGTTGTGGCATGAGAAGGGAGCCCAGGGAAAATCCTGTGTCCTGTAGGAATCAGAACTATTCAGGTTGGAAAAGCCCCTTGGGATCACTGAGTCCAACCATCATCCCTACTCTACAAAGTTCTCCCCTAAACCATCTCCACCAACACCACATCCAAATGACCCTTAAACACATCCAGGGATGGTGACTCAACCACCTCCCTGGGCAGCCTGTTCCAGTGTCCAACCACTCTTTCTGTGATTTTTTTTTTCCTGCTGTCCAGTCTAAATCTCCCCTGTTGCAGCTTGAAGCCCTTCCCTCTTGTTCTGTCACTAATTCCCTGTGAAAAGAGACCAGCACCAACCTCTCTGCAGTGAGCTCTCAGGAAAGCAGTGTCCTGGACATCACTGAATTATAGAATAATTTAGATTGGAAAAGACCCTTAAGATCATTGAGTCCAGCTGTTAACCTAACACTGCCAAATCCACCACTAAGCCATGTCCTTAACAGAGGTGTTCCCAAGTGCATTTCAGCACAGCAGGGAACCCCAGAGGTTCTGGGCCATTGATTCCCACTTCCTGAACTGCCTGTGAACACACTGAGGTAGGACTGATACAAGGATGCCCTCCTGCCCACCCCACACCCAGTTTGTGTCTCACTTGGATGTGTGTATCTCTCTTTTTCTGATACTTAGACCATTTTTTCTCACCATTCTGAATTCCCTGGAGGGGTGTTAGATTACCAGTCTCTAAGCATGAGACATTTTGTTGCTAATACAGACATTGGTATCCATTTTCTCATGTTTGTTGGAAGATTTAATTCCATTTTCCAGTCCCAGGGGCAATTTTGCATTCTGATATTTGTTCAATAATTGCATTCAAACATAAATAAGTAAATAAATAAATAAGGCAAGCTATCTTTGAGTAGTTTTGAGCAACATCCTTTTCCAGGCAGCCTGACAAAACCCTGGTCAGAAATTCAATGTCTTTCAGAAAATCCTTTGGGGAGAGACTGTCTGGAGCCTGTAGATGCCAAGCAGAAGCTATTGCAGCCCAGCTGACAGGAGAAATGAGTCTCGGGACAGGAGTGTCAGATGTGCAGGTCAGAGCTGAGACACTTGTGCAGGGAAGCCTGGAGGAGGGTGCAGCAAACCCTTCAGCTGTTGGTGAAGGATATAAGTAAGGGGCAGTGTGGGATGCAAAGGCAATAGCTGCCCCAAAAGGTTTTGCACAGCCCTCAAACCAGTGGGAAATGTCCATCCCATGAGATACAGAGCAATGCAGGGCAGCAGAACCAGAACAGGGAAACCAAGAGGCTTTGCAGGTGCAGAGATCCCAATGCTGGGCATTGCAGGCAGCTCCCAAGCCTCACCCCAGAGAGGAGCTGTGGCTGTAGATCCCTGGTCCTGGTTCAGTCCCCACAGCAGGTGTCCCCTCTCAGCAGCACACTGTTCTGCTGCAGCCATGGCCTTTCACCCTCGGCAGAAGGTTGCAATAGAAATTCCCACGAGGGAGTTTTTGGAGAGTTCCTTGCTCTCCCAGGGGGCCACAGAGCACAAGCCCCTGTGCTATTCACAGCCTTCAGCTCCTCTGCCCCCAGTTGGTTTTTCAGACTCTGATGGTTTCATTCCTCCAGAAGAGCCCTCGTTAATGAGTGTATTAGCACCATTGATTTTAGTGTGAGGAGTCAGTCTGAGTTCAGATAGTGCAGGGAGATTAGTAAAACAGTGGTTAAATGCTTCGCTGATCCACTATCGATTCTTAGATAGACCCTTTTATACATTTGAGCTCTTAATTCAGCTAAATAATTTGTTTCCCCCAGCAAGACTTTATGTTGCAAAACATTATTTACACCCCAACAATCCTGATTAACACTGTGCTCCACAGCCCTACCACTGGTGATACGTTTGTAGCACAACAGCACAGAATAATAGCAGCCTTAAGACCCTCACATTATCTTATTTCAGGTTGACTTTATCCCTTCTGATAAAAGAATTGGCTAAATTACTGTCAGTCTCCTGCTGATTATTCCTTTTGATGGAGTTTAATGGGGCACAGAAACTGAATTCCCTTAGAAATGGTGGATGGCAGTAACTGCTCTTGGAGTCCAGGTCTGGATTTCAGGGCAATTGAAAGGTTTGATAACTAAAAAAAATATTTTAATCAGTTTTTAAAAGCTTGAACATTTCCCCCCTCTGTTGATAGGCAGCAGCTACAGCAATGTTTCTCAAAAATCCTGCTGGAAGTTAATTCACCTGGGTGCTTTTGATTCTTCTTAATCAAATGGATTTCTTTTAACCAAGAGAAGCATGGAGGAAGCTAAAGGGAGCAGTGTTTGTATGGCTGGAGCACTATAATAGTATAAACTGGACAAGGTGAAGCTGCTCTAATGCATGTCAGGCCACAGATGAGAGAATGGAATGTGCATGTGGCAAAGGGGGGTTGTTGTTTGCTGCTTGAATTTGGTTTTGGCTGCTGGCAGTGCCTGGAGGAACGGGTGCCTGGGGCAAGCTGAAGCCCAGCATGGGAGGGCTTGTGGACAGGGATAACACAGCTTTGGAGCTTTGCTTCAACATTAGCAAATGAAGGGGGAGAGCTCATAACACCAGGTGTTTAATCACTTAATGTTTGTCAGGAAAATGGCTTAACTTCCCTGTGAGGAGCATGAAAGCACCTGTGCCTGGGAGGGACAAGGCTGGTGCAGGCAGAGGGGGCTGGGGGGTATCTTCAGCAACAGGCACAGATGCCAGGCTGTGCAAAAGCAGTTGCCACCCTGTCCATGAAAGCACTGCTTGAGGTAGTTCACAATGATTTATAGGTATTTAGACCAGGGTGTAGGTGCTTTGCAGTGAGGCACGGGGTAAACTGGGCTCAAGCATCAGCTTCAGCAAGTATAGCTTTCTGCAACATTGCTGTGCTTCTATAAACAGGCCAGTAAATCCTATATTCTGCTAATTTATCAGATGGTGGAGGAGCAGTCAGGAAGAGGAGAAGACTCACAGTAAGGTACAGCTGATGAAAGGTGCTGCCACCACCCCTGCACCCCAGTACCATTCCCTTGCAGTAGGACTGGGACACAATGATTTTCCCTTACTCATGGCAGAGGGTATTGCACATCTTTCATGG